TTTTGAGTGAGAGGACATCCAGAGTAACAACCTTGTTGCCAATCCGATGAAACTATCGGCGGTTAAACCCCTCGATTTGAGAGCGTTGTGAATGAGAGTTGTGAATGAGGTAGTGACTGACTTTCCAGCAGAAGTGCCAGACCTGCATACCTTGTTAGCCTAAATTCCTCCTGATGCGACACATTTTTCGGTGTTAGACTTATGTGGTGCATTTTTTAGTGTTCCACTTAGTGTAGAAAGTCAGGGTTTATTTGGGTTCACATATAAGGGACAGTTCTATGAGTACAGTCGTTTGCCACAGGGGTACAAGCATAGCCCGCACATTTTCAATAAAGTACTGAAGGATGATTTGGTAGGGATAGATCAGATATTGCAAAGCACTGTCATTCAGTACGTAGATGATATAATTATCTGCTCACAGAATAAGGAAACATGTCATAGAGACTCAATTAAATTGCTACAGGTATTGGCAGAAAAGGGGCATAAGGTTTCACAGAAAAAGTTGCAATATTGCCAGGAGAAGGTTGTTTATTTGGGTCAGAAAATAACGCATGGACACAGAAGCATTTTGGACAGTCAATTGGAAGTTATTCGTAAGGCTCCGAAGCCTAGAACTGTCAGAGAGATGATGACATTTCTTGGTATTGCTGGTTATTCTTCAGCTTGGGTTGAGAGCTATGCTAGTTTGACGGGACCTTTGAGAGCTATGGTTAAGGATACTGGAAATTGTCAACTCCATAGCAATCTTTCCTGGACACAGGAAGGCCATGTGGCATTTGAAACGATCAAACAGAGGTTGCAGGAGGCACCTGCACTCACACTACCAGACTACTCTAAGAATTTTTTGCTATATGTGTCTACTTCTACTGGAGGTAAATATGCATGTGCAGTTCTTTGTCAGCCGACAGGCACAGGGACGAATCCTCAGCCTATTTCCTACTACTCTACTGCCTATTCAGAAGTAGAACTAGGGCTACCACTGTGCTACAGAGCAATGGTGGGAGTATATTCAATGTATGACAAAGCATCATCTGTTACGATGGGTTACCCAGTAACAATTCTTACCCATCATAGTCTCAGAAATCTTCTGAACTATGGTAAATATACATTGACTATGCCTAGGCTCAGAGACTATCATAGGCTCTTAGAGCAGGAAGATGTCACCCTAGTGAGGTGTGATACGGTGAATCCAGCCGAGAATTTGCAAACTTGGCTAGATGTGCCAAGCTTATAGAGACCAAAAATAATTTACTGAAACTGGTTACAAATGACGGATTTACACATGATTCACCAAATGATATTTTGAAGGAGGAAACAAAAGTACTTTAAGCATATGTTTTGTTTCAGTCACCTCCATCTCCTCTAACTGAAGCTAATTGTAGAGATTTTTTTCTATTGATAATGTAAAATTAACAGCCATACAGAAAGACTCATGTGAAGGTGAAATTACAGAGGAGGAACTTCTGGATGCAATTAAAGACTTTAAGTCCGGGAAAACTTCAGGGTTGGATGGCATACCAGTCGAGGTATACCAAACCTTTTTTGATATACTCAGAGGACCGTTATTAGCATATTTTAACCACTCCTATGTAAATGGTAGATTATCAGACACTCAAGAAGAAGGTCTGATTTCAATATTAGTGAAACAGGATACAAGTGGAAAATATAAAGATCCAGTGCATTTATAAAATTAAAGTCCCCTTACACTTCAGTGTTGTGATGCAAAATTTCTAGCAAAATGTATAAAAAAAGGTATTGTAGGACATTATTCATTCTAATCAGACAGGTTTTTTACATGGACGATACATTGGAGATAATATAAGGCAAGTACTGGAAACAATAGAACACTATGAAAAATATGTGAAACCAGGCCTGCTATTCATAGCAGATTTCGAAAAGGCTTTTGATAAAGTACGACTGAGGTTTATATATAAATGCCTGGAGCATTTCAATTTTGGAGAATCTCTTATAAATTGGGTTAAAATCATGTATAGTAACCCTAGGTGTAAAATAGTAAATAATGGCTATTTCTCAGAAAGTTTTAAACTGTCAAGAGGAGTGAAACAAGGTTGTCCACTATCGGCATATCTGTTTATTATGGCCATCGAGATGTTAGCTATTAAAATTAGATCCAACAATAATATCAATGGATTAGAAATCCAGGGCTTAAAAACAAAGGTGTCATTGTACGCTGATGATTCATGTTTTCTTTTAAATCCACAACTTGAATCCATCCACAGCCTCATAGAGGGTCTAGATACATTTTCTAACCTCTCTGGATTACAACCAAATTATGATAAATGTACTATATTACGTATTGGATCACTAAAAATACACTTTTTACATTACCATGTAGTTTACCAATAAAATGGTCTGATGGTGATGTGGACATACTCGGAATACATATCCCAAATGAAATAAATGATCTCACTCCAATACATTTTAATATAAAGTTAGCAAAAATAGATAAGATCTTGCTACCATGGAAAGGTAAATACCTGTCAATTTGTGGAAAAATCACCCTGATTAACTCTTTAGTATTATCCCAGTTTACCCATTTGCTTATGGTCTTGCCTACGCCTAGCGAACAGTTTTTTAAATTATATGAGAAAAAAATATTCAAATTTATTTGGAACGGCAAGCCAGACAAAATTAAATGGGCCTATTTCTATAATGAATATGAATTCGGAGGACAGAAATGATTAAATATTAAAGCTGGTTCTCTAGTAAATTAGTAAGATTGTCTCACCCAATGTTCAAGAATGGCCTTTTTCCCTTCATTCAGATTACAACCTCTCACTTTCAGTTATTTGAAAAGGAAATATATATATATATATCTCCC